ACGGTCTGTCTGACACCCGAGTTCACATTCTTGTTAAGATGGAGAGAGAAGAATAAAAAGTAGAGAAACGGCTCAACGCCACTGAGAACCAGTAAGAAAGGGGGCACCTTGTGCCGTCACGGCAGCTCATATGGCCTTTGGAAGAGGGTTTGAGAGCCGTGTCTCTAACTGTGTGGCCCGTTGCTCGGCCTGCTCTGAACTTGGAGCTTGGCTTTTCGAAGGGGAAGAGCCTGCGGGGGGTGGGTGTGTCAGACCCCTTGGGGGGTGGTCTGCTACTGAGGCTGGGTGAACCGGACAAGCCCCTTCACCCCAGGAGGTGGAGGGCGCCTTCGAGAGTGCACTGGGTGCCCCGCCTCGGTTCTCTCCGGCCTAAAGGTTCATGCAGGGAGCCCCGCACCCCTCAAATCTCCCAGCATCTGCTTGATGACTGAGATCCAGGAATTAAGAAAAAAGATACAGACCTTCTTAGCTGATGTAACATCTAAATCTCCAAATCGCCCCACACGCCTGAGGTCCTGGCTACGCTGTTTGTTACATTTGGTGTAATTTATAATTATGGGGCAGCCGCAGCAAAGAAGGCTCCTCCTTGCTCAAAGGGTCTCCCCCTCTTCTGCACCCAGGTTAAGTCCCATGACGAACACGTAGGTGACAGTGGGCAACAGTGGCTTCCTCACTCTCAAGCGGTGTTTAGAAGACATGGGCTTCCCCATCTCCTCGCTCTAGTCTGGGCAGTGGGGACCTGGCCTGGGTGTCTCTGATGTATGGTTCGATGGCATTTAAAATCGGATGGTCAGTAAGAGGGCGAGTGACTGCAGAGTGCGGATTGAAGAGTCCAGCGGAGAGAAGGGGTGGAAGATGCTGAAGCCCCAGGCTTTGTCTCATCAGAAGCCCTCACCTGGAGACGCTCATCGAGGGCAATTCGGTTCCTTGCAACAGTGTAGAGAGCACACAGGACACCCTCCAGGAGCTTAAACCTCCCAGCACAGATGTCCCCAGGGTGCACGAGGCTCTCACGGGTGGCTCTGGAAGGAAAGTCATTCCCACTTGCTTCAAGTGATGCTTTGGGGGTCTGAGGGTCAAAGAAAGAACAGAGGTGTATTCATAAATATTATAAATAACTTTACTCATCACCCCAGGATGCTGCTTGTAAATCTGACAGCATAGCAGGACTCAAAGGAGAGCTCTCAGGATTGTAAAGACTTCTGCTCTCCGATGGGTGGGTGCCTGTGCCCCACCCAGGCAGTCCAGCCCCCAAATCTTGTCAAGGTGACTCTGCACAGGTGGAATCAGTGGTGCGTGGCCTCTGGGGAGAGGGCATTGGTTGAGTCACCCCATAAGCAACTCGAGGGATTGCTCCAGAGTCAACACCAACCGTTGGTAGAGGGGCTGAGGTTTCTGAGGCCACGTCTGGGGTCCACAGGCAGAGGGTCCTCGCTGGTCTGAGATGCTGGTGATGTACTGAGGGCGGAGTGTGTGCTCCGGGGAGTGGCCACGTGTGGAAGCCTCTAAAATCCGGCAGCACCAAGTCCTCTGCTCTGAGCAAGTGTTACATTCTGGGGTGTTTCCTAACCCTAACCCAGCTGGACCCCAGAGCTGACCCTTAGATGTTTTTATAATGACACCACCTTCTAACTCATGTCAGGATCAATTACTTACTCAGTAGAAACCAGAGCATCCTCCACTAGTTATGATGAGTTCCCTTACCCAGAAAATAGGAAATGGTAATGTTTGTGGGGCCCCAGGAGCCACGCGTTCAGCCCGGAGGGCAGGTGCCCGCCGAACTCTCCTGTCCCTGTCCTTCAAACTGCCTCTCCCGAACTGGATCCCATTTCTTTTGGGGCAACTAAGACAAGGTGGGGCTGTGGCCTCCCTCCCATTGTCTGGATGTGACAGTCTGAGGCAACATTTATGAAAGGAGCATGGAACTTTCTAGAGCGGGAGCAGAGGGTGTGGGAGGAGGCCAGGGTGGGCCTCGGGCAGTCAGCTGGTGGGTGGGAAGGGCGAAAACAGTGCATCTATTCAATTCTGACCAGGATTTAAAGGCATGGGGGTGGGGGTGTGAGTCAGCTTTTTCTCCCATCCCTCTCAACGCCTTGACCTCCTGGGGTCAGCTTAGTTCCCAGGGAGCTGTAGGAATTCCAAGGTGCAGCCCACATTTGGCATTCCAAGGTGCAGCCCACATTTGGCAAGCCCAGTGTGAGTAACCCAAATGTTTTCAAAAGGCTGCTTCTCAGCCGTGCCTCAGGGGATGCCATACACCCTTTTAGGCTCCCTATCAGGACTGCAAGCTCAGGAGAAATATGATAAGGGGGTTTCAGATCTCCAGGCTGGCCGTGATTGCCTGTCCCCTGCAGAGTCTGGGAGAGTCCCGGGCCAGGGGGGCTGAAGGCATTCCTCAACCCTTGGGTGGGGTCTAGACTCCAGCAGGTCTTTGGAGGGGGACTTGGCTTCATGGGTGTAAGTGACCTGGATTTCGTTTCCTCCCCGGAACAACCCAGCCAGGTGGGCACCTCTTCTAATTTAGAAACGCATTGTAAATGCCGCGGGACACGACTGCCATGAAATCGGATCAGAAGTTCTTCAGGATCAGGAGAGGTTTATTTGAATTCTCTGTATCTGCTTGATTGGCGCTCACCTTCCTAGAACATGGCTCTGGGTGTTGGGAGCTGTTTTCACGTCCAGGAATACGTCTTCCGCATTTGTTTGTCTGTATCAACAGCATCTCTTGTGGGTGGTCGTTAGCCAAAAGCAGCTCTTTGGAGGGGTGGCAGAGGTGTCCAGGGGCACTGAATCCCAGCTGTGTCACAGGCTCTCGCACCAGTCGCTCAGCTGAGCGTCCCCTTGGAGCACCTCTGGTCTTCTGCAAAGCGGGGATGGCGAGGATGGGCACCCCTACTGGCTGCCGTGTCTGCTCCTGCACTGACTCACTGAATCCTTACACATCCTGCTGTTATTAAACCCGTTTTACAGATGAGGAAACCGAGGCACAGAAGGGCTAATTACCTCGGCCAGGGTCTCACAACCAGTAAGGGGCAGAACCAGGGCTCAAACCCAGGCTGTCTGGCCCCAGAGTCCGTACACGGAGTGTCCGCTCCGAGATGCTTCTCTTGGCGATGCATGTGCTCGGTTGGTTGTAGGGAAGTTTTCGTTCACGCACCGTGCCCGGAGTCTGATCTATCGCGTTGCTGTTGCTTCTGTCCTGGGGTTTACAGCAGGCTGTACCTCGTGTCGTGGTTTTGATCTGGGGTCTGCAGCACACTGCACCCCACATCTTGCACATAGTAGGTGATAAGTAAATACCTGCAGCTTCCGCGATGGACGGCATGAGGTTTTGGAGATTGGATTGGGTTGGATTTGAAGTTCCAACAAAATAAGTGGCCCATGTCCTTCTGCAGTGGGAAGCGGGTGTGAGTGATTTGGGTCGGCACAGCTTGCGGCCCTAAATCGGTGTTAAATGTTCATTGAAGGAGAAAGGCAGAGAGTGGGGGACTGCTGCCCCTCCCAGACCCAGCTGGCGGGACTCAGAGCACCACGGTTGCGGAGCAGAGCCTGCAGTACCCGCTGGAGCTGGGAGATGGCGCCCTTCCCCAACTGGTGAAATTTGCTGCTTCCAACCCAGAGGCTGCCACAGATCCGTGCATTAACCAGGATAACAAATCAAAGGAGCCCCTTCAGCTCCTGGGTCTCACACCAATGCTCAGGCCAGGACCATCCTGGCTGTAACTGAGTCCCTGCTACATAGGGGGACGGAGCAGAGAAAAGCTTAATGGGAGGCCTGGAGGCTTAAGTGCCTTTCATCTCCCGTTAGAAGCCTTCTGCAAATTCTAAAGCCCTATTAAGATGTTTGACCCAGTCAGGCCTGCGCTTCCAAGGAGACTTACATGTGTCCCAACACCCATGCTGCCGAGGGCTGGGGACTTGTGCCAGCCTGCCCTGCCCCTCTCCCTGGGCATCGGGACCCCACACACACCCGGAGAGCCAGTGAGGAAACCCTCCCCCCCGACCCCCAGCCACAGACCCCAGGCCCCTGACCAGGGCTCCACCTGCACCACACTCACCACGGGTGGGGCCGCTTTAGCAACCCTGCGCGGAGGCCTGAGCCCCAAACCCACACCCAGCTGCTGCACCCCTGCTGCATGCCCACCTGGACCCAGGAGCCCACACTGGGCGGTGCCACAGCTGCCAGCAAAGGCCTTAGGGCTCCTGGCTGTCCCGGGCTCCCAGAAGGGCCTTTCCCCTAGCCCCTTCCCCCAGCACTGGGGCTGGAGACCCCCCCACCAGGGGCTGCTTTTGGAGCCCGCCAAGAGTTCGCCCTCCTGGCTGGGTTTCAGGGGGCTGCCGGGCTGGAGGAAGCCTGGAGCCACCGCCAAGCAGGTCCCCAGCAGCGGGGCGGAGGCCTTGGGCATGGGTGGGGTGGGGTGGGTCTCAGGGGGGTGCCCGGGGCTCGCTGGCCGGCGACCTTGAGGGTGGAAGGGCAGCGGCCAGTCCATGCGCTAGGGACGCCGCCGTCTATGCGGGCGGATTTTGACGACTTGGGAGGGGGTGGTCTGTCTTTCCTCCCGGGCCGCCCCCTCCCTACTCCTTGGTGACGGGGCTCTGCAGGCCTCGCTGCCAGCAGCCAGGGGGCGGCGGGGAGCCGGAGTGGAGAGGAAAAATCCACCCATTTCCTGGTCAGATTGCGTCGGCCGCCGCCCGGACGTGTCCCCGCCTCCCGGCCGCGGCCCCCGCGCGCAGCCCGCGCGGCGCTCAGAGCCCTAGCCGGCGGCTCTTCCCGGCGGCGGGCGGGTGGCAGAGGACGCTGGGCAGCGGCGGGGCGGCCACTCTCCCGGGCGCCCGGGGCGGCGCGGCCATGGCCGGGGTTCGCGGGGCGGCGGCGGCGGCGGCGGCGGCGGCGGCGGGC